AGGATTTACTAAAGTAGACGTGCAATAATTTACTTGTAATTATACTGTAAAATGAATGTGAATTATGTAATTCACTAAAGACAGTTCTTCCATTAAAAAAATCACTACCTTACCACGTAGATGTAACCGTGCAGACAAAAGTCTAATTAAAAATGTACTGCTTTTCCTTTATTCAGCATTTAATTTATATCTTGGGCTACTGTCATGTTCAGTTACCAATATATTCATACCTTTATTTTGCAGACCATTGAAAAAAATGTTGCTGTCTGCAGTGAACTAAGACATATTTAAGATCTTAGTATGCAGCCAGTAACCTTTTCACACTCTTTTGCTTACTCAGGAACTTCCACCTTCCTCTGTAGTTATATTAAGAAAGGTATTTTTCATTGGCACTGGCCTTTTTCTATAACTTTATTCATTGATGTGAATGATTGTTTTCTTAAGTGTTTTCAAAAAGCAGCAAATCTGAGGGAGTTGTCTTAAGAACGTGCAAAGTATCTGTCTAAAGACTGGTTTCTTTCTCATTTTTATCTTGCTTATTTCATAACTGAATTACTGACTTCTGTAGCTAACGTAGTTCAGTTCTTTCCTCATCATTCCCTAATTATAGCATGGTTTAAGTCTGCCAGCACTAACTTACTGAAATATTTGGCTTCTTTCCAAAGGTATCAAGTTTCATTAGAGAACAGGCACATGAACGGTTACAAATGATAGTTATTTCTCTAAAGGAAGAGTTTTATTCCAAAGCAGACGCTTTGATTGGAGTGTGCCCAGAGGTAACAATTAATTATTACCAAATTTTGTTAATTAATACAAGCTGGGGTTTGTTGAAGTACTGACTTACACTTAAGTGTTACTACAGTGAATCACGTACAGAATTGCGTTGGTGGATCTGAACTACTTTGTGTTCAGAAATAACTGCAGGTACTGGCTCAATGAAAAGATCATTTTGGTAACTCAAGCTGATTATTGTATCTCTAGTCATTTATGAAATGTTTATTTCAAATAACAGAAATTTTTTAAATTGTATGATCCTTCTTCTCAGCACGATGACTTTATGTTCAGTCGAGTACTGACTTTGGACCTTACTGAGTATCCAGACATTGATGACCAGGAAAGAACAGAGAAGCACAAACGCAGTTCTCCTTCAGAATAAAGCACGGATGACTCCAGGGCCAGGTGGCAACAGCAAGAACCCTGTCTGCAGTGGACTGTTACAAATCGAGTTTGAATGTTGCTATTAGAGGTTGATAGAGAAATGTTTGCCTTTCAAACCAAGCAGTTTTCTAAAATACTGAAGGAAGAAACTGTTACTCCTTGCTACAGTTTCTTAACAAGTAAGAGATAGCCAGAGGTTGTTACTGAAGTGTGTACATTCTGGTAAGCAAAGCTTTCTCTTCCTGTGGTTTGGGAGGGGTGAGGGTGTTGTCTTAAAATGAAGAATTACAGGTTCACGTAAGCACATGATTACAAAGAATAAGCCTCTCACTTTTCTTATGAAAAGTAATGTGTTTAGCCATATCTCCAGTGCAGTGTTTGGGTGCATCCTACCACTGGTCAGGACCTTTATAAATCTCTCTCCTTTGTGTTGCAGCTGCATCTGTTTGCCTTCAGATAGGATTATTTCCTGGTTTTTAAAACAAGCTATTGGAATCTATTATCTTCCGTGACTTTTGTGACACCCAGTTAGACTTCAGTGTTCCACTGCAACCCTATGAAAATATTAACTTTACAAAATCTCATGGTGTATCTCTATAGGTGTAATGTAATTTGGAAGAAATTTACCTTTCAGGTAATCTACCCTACACAAAAGTGGAAAGAATAAAACAGGTGTGAGTCAGGTAGCACCCTTAGAAAAAAATACATTGGTTTACAGTTGAGATTGTTATACAGTAGCTGTCACAGTAAAGTCAAGTTTATTTTGATGCCCATGCTTCATCTAAGAAGCAAAGTTAATGAACCTCGTTACAGAACACAGAGAACTTGAATCACTTTGCCTGGCTTATGTTTCACCTCAGTGTATGCTGAAGAGCTTTTACTTGGTTTATGGTTGCTCATAATTATTGTATCTTCTTATGTTCATATACTAGCTTCCTTTTGTCCACCATGCTGCTTACACGTCTGCCTTGTAATGTGTTGCTAATGCTGTGCCTGTTGCGCACAACTGATGACGTCTGGACATGTGGGGTTACTACATAAGGAAGGAATGACATGTGAGCAGTGGATAGTGTATTCCTATGGGAACATTTCAACAACATAAATGTGTCCACTTATACTGTAGACAGATGTTTAACAAATATTTATGTTGCTGCCACACTTATTTAATAAAATTATTTACTCTGAGTTTAAGTCATGAGTTGGCATTAGTCCCTTAATTCACAGTCCAGTGACAGTTGTGGAAATACACAGTGTGAAGGATTTTCAAAGATCTCTGACCAACAAATTGCAAATACAGAAGGCTTGGGTTTTGGGGTTTTTTAACCATTTGCTAAGAACAGCTGGCTGAAATAGGGGAAAAAAACCCCACAGTAATGAATTAAAGTGTGTACCTTTCAGCATTCTTCAGACTGTTTAGCTACTATACAAGAATGGTCTATCTGGCTTTAAATACTTTATTACAAGAGTGTATGCTGTCATCAGAGATGCTCTGTCAACTTCATTACACAGGTTGAGCAAAACAGGATAACAAATGGTCAAGTTTGTTTTCAGTAAGTACCTTACTCCTATTTAAAAAAAAAATTAAGTAGAAAAAGAGCCATCTACGATAGAATTGGCAAATATCATTTAACATACCAATTTGTATGGTTAGTTCTTTCATGGTACTCTGGTAATAATTTGACCAGGGCATTACACAAGTTATGCTTTCACTTAACAGATAAATGAAACAGACAAGTTTCAGGTTGTCCCCTTTGACTGTATTTTAAACCCTGAGGTAGCTCAAGGCAATCCTCTCCCTGAGGTGACTGTAACATCTTCTTTTATTATGGGGGGGAACAAAATCAAAACTAGGTGTTTCTGCCTTATGATGTGTGTTAAGACTTAAAATAACCCCTTATTACTCATCTGCTTTTCAGAATACAAATAAATGGCACTTGAATGAGGGGAGGCTGTTGTACAAGTTGCAGTCCAGCAGTGTCTACAAAAGGGAAGGTGTAAGTTGATCCTTACAAAGTGAGGGTATGTGATTTCCTAATGAGGATGTGACTTCAGGCACAAGATAAGGAGCTACATGACTTTAGAGTTAGGCTTAAATAATTGCAGTCATTAGCGTCATAAATAGCTCAGCTGATCTAATCAATTTTGCTGCAGCCTGAAGCAACAATAAAAGTGTTCTAAGTTGATACACCAGCATCCAGAACAGTGTGACTGATCACTTTTCAAAACAGCCAATTCATGCTGACTAGAGAAGCAAATTTGAGAGGTTAGTCTTACAGATAATGCTATGTGATGCTGAAAGACTTAATTTTCAAAAGGGATGTATGCATAAATACAACCTCCCAAAGGGAGAAGATGAGTATGGTCTATATTCAGGCTGGTTTTGCTTTTGATTTTTACCTTTTAAAAAACACAGCTGAAACCCTGAGAACTGACACTTGAGGTCCTTAGCAGTTAGACTGCATAGTAAAACCCAAGTATGATTTCCAGACTGTCAATCGTGAAAGGTGTTTTGTGGGGTAGAAGAGACAAGAGTCAGTGCGCATGCATTGTTTAAGATTGCTTTTCTAGACATAATGGCTTCAGATCTTTTCTTTACCTACTTCAGAACAGGCACAAAGACTTCCACACCACAAAAACTACCCATCTCAGTAGTTATTATAATGTCTAGAAAGAAGCATGCACCTCACTTTTAAGCTTTTTGTTTTGCACACATATGTACTAGAGAACAAGCAGAAATTGTTTTTGTGAGGTGGAAGTAAAGAGTTGATGTACCACAATTCAGACAGAAAGGTCATCTGACAGACCCATCGCTTCCACTCCCTGTAAAACCTCATTATAGTGGGATGTGATCTCAGAAGGCATAACAGATCAAATCCACAGGGAACATAAGCAGAGAAACCTGATTGAAGCAACTCTCCAGGACTGCCAGGTATGAATGTGCCGGTATCAGAACAAAGAGTGGTCCTGAACATGGTCTCCTGCAGACACTGAGGTGAGAGGCAGCTGACTAGAAAATTGCAGAAGATTACCAGTGTGAGCAACTGGGTCCAGTAACTTTGTCAGTTTAGTGCTGAGACAAGTCAGTGGTAGGTAGGTTCAGAAGTAACAGCACCTCAGAAAACAAAACAGTTAATGCAGTGCCTGCACACCAGAAATTGTCTACAACTACCTAAGATACTAACTGGTTTTAGTTCTGCTGTATCAAAACCATCAATTACCTGCTTTCTGAGAGAACTAGCAGCATACTCTACAATTTAAACAACTGCTAAATTATTTCCATAGAAGTACACTGCAAATAGGTCAGTAAGCTGACATGTACACATGGTATATACTTGCTGATACATTACTATGACAACCTTTTTTCTGGATGTGATCTCATGCCTTAACAGACCAATGAAAACAAATACCCTAAAAGTGTAAAATAGGCAGGTTATCATGATGTAGGTTCTATAAACATGAATCAACAATTCCTGTTCCTAACAGCTTAGAGATCTGAATCTGAAGCTTTCAAGCAGGCTTGTGCTGACAGAGTTCAATCTCCAGCAGCCTAACTGCTGAGAAAAGAATAACCCCCCCCCCTTCATTTTTAAAGGCAACTAACAAGTCACAGGTATGCCAAATGTAATTTCTGACACATTCAAACATCACATCTCTTGTGGCTTCACCTTGGTTAAGAGCTTGGTCCAACTGGCTTGAGGCACAGGCAATGAAAACTTGCCCTGGCTTCTAAATGACCCTGCAGATACAGTAGTATGGAAGTGCCTGGAGAATAACTAGTCTGACTTGAGCTCTGCATACATTACACATTTACAGCTCTAGAAGAGAAAAGGCTAAAATACACAATTTTTATTCCACTTAAAACCATGGAAATACTCAGCTCAAAACTTTCCATGCAGCAGATGTAAAACACCTACTGTTAAAAAGCTTCTGGGTTGGGTTTTGGGTTTTTTTTCTCATTAAATAGTGGGTATACCATTATCTGGCTGCTTGATTCTCTTAGGACAGTCAGTGCCGTTTTCTAACTTCCTTTTAGCACAGTCCACACATGAAGTTCCTGTGGAGGGAGGGGGGGAAAGGAAATATTTTAATATTGCTACATACATGTGGTTTACATACTTGTTATCACAAGCACCAAATACTAAGATAAACAATACTGGTCCCACTGTGGTTCTTGTATTTGGATTTTGAATTATAACAGTAACCCTACTGAAAGTCTGCAGCAGTGCAGTGATCTAACACCGAGCTCTGGTATTAACATTAAAACAGGAAGTAGCTAATTATGCAGCTGCCTTTTAAAGAAAATAATTCTTGATTTTTGTGTGATAATGCCTGGGGAGTTCACAGGTGAGAAGCTGCTTTAAACAGTTTGGATCCCTTATTCAGAGGAAAAAAAATTGTGGTGTGAGCTACCATTGGAAGTATAAACAGCGTAGCTGGACAGTAAAAATGAATGGAAGGGAATTGCCTTCAAATTCAGGACATCCATCACTTACTTAGAACTTTGGATATATTTTTTTGCAGGGTATTATACAAATCTGTGTTAAGGAAATTTCTTCCTTGCTAGGTATTCCAAAATACAAGTAAATGGGTGCTAAAACGATGTGTAAGAAGGAGGGTGCTAATATGTTAGTAAAGGAGCTTCATATTAAGTGGAACCAGAATAAATTGTGCTCAAGTTTTTAGTTTCTTCTCCACTGATGCCTAATTGTACTTGACCAAAAAAGGGATTTATGAACTCATGTGAAAGGCAGATGGAAGTACAAAAGTAATCCCTGACTTTACACCTGCCCGCAAGTGTCTTGGACCTTGTGTACTTTTTGATGGTGAAAAAGTGGGGATTTTTAATCTCCTGCAATGTCAAAGACCCTTATATGCAATAATGAAATGGTACTTTTTTTACAATTTTGATATTATATTATTTGCAGCAGCTGCACAAATATCTTAGAAGTATAATCTTTTTAAGTTGAAGTGTTGTTTCAAAGGGAAGTTTTGCTATTTTATACCATAAATTGGAATGTATTATTGCTCTACTTTTTCACAGAAGCATCACAAAGATAACTGAACAACACTTACTTACCTAAAAATTCACCTTCAGTATTATATGCTTAAGCTTGAGATTCATTCCTCTATACCTTCTTAAAGAAGGACTCAAAATAGCCAAACTTATCTCTGGAAATTTAAGCCCAAACCTCAGAGATGTTCATATTATCTTAGAATACTCTGATCAGACAACTACTTTTGTATATACATTTTCTCTTCTATCATTTCTCATTTTATTAACAGCTGAAAGCCAGCAGTTACCTGCTAATATGTAGAAAGAAAGAGGGTAAAAAGAGAATCTTTTAAGCAGACTTTCAGAGCTAAATCAGAGCACTGCACAATAATAATTTCTTTGTAAATAAGACTTATTTTTATCTGACAGATTTTAGAACTTCCTGTGAAAATAAGAACATTACTTACCCAAGAGTGTTGTGCTGTCCACTCGATCAGCATCTAGAAAAGTGTAAGAGACAGCAACAGCACGTTAGCATCCAAAAGGTTCTTCTACTTTTATGCAACATCCCACACCAGCAAGGTTGTATTTAGAATCATAGATTTACCATCACAGTGAAGAATTTCTACCTAATATCTAATCTCAATCTTCCCTCCTTCAGCTTAAGGCCATTACCCCTTGTCCTGTCACTCCATGCCCTCATAAACAGTCCCTCTGCAGCTTCCCTTCAGGTACTGGAAGGCTGCTAGAAGGTTTCCCTGGAGCCTTCTCTTCTCCAGGCTGAACCACCCCAACTCTCTCAGCCTGTCCTCATAGGAGAGGTGCTCCAGCCCTCTGATCAGTTTCGTGGCCCTCCTCTGGACTCACTCCAACAGCTCCATGTCTCTCCTGTACTGGGGCCCCCAGAGCTGGACGCAGTACTCCAGTTGGGGTCTCACCAGAGCGCAGTAGAGGGGCAGAATCGCCTCCCTCGACCTGCTGGTCACACCTCTTTTGATGCAGCCCAAGATACAGTTGGCTTTCAGGGCTGCAAGCGCACACTGCCAGCTCATGTTGAGCTTCCCATCAATCAATACCCCCAAGTCCTTCTCCTCAGGGCTGCTCAATCCATTCCCTGCCCAGCCTGTAGTGCTTGGGATTGCGCCGACCCACATGCAGGACCTTGCACTTGGCTTTGTTGAACTTCATGCGGTTCGCACAGGCCCACCTCTCCAGCCTGTCAAGGTCCCTCTGGATGGCATCCCTTCCCTCCAGCGTGTCGACTGCACCACACAGCTTGGTGTCTGCAGACTTGCTGAGGGTGCACTCAATCCCGCTGTCCATGTCAACAAAGATGTTAAACAGTGCTGGTCCCAGTACCGACCCCTGAGGGATGCCACTCGTCACTGGTCTCCACTTGGACATCGAGCCATTGACCACAACTCTCTGAGTGCAACCATCCAGACAATTCCTTATCCACTGAGTGGTCCATCTGTTGAATCCATGTTGCTCCAATTTAGAGACAAGGATGTCGTGTGGGACAGTGTCAAATGCTTTGCACAAGTCTAGGCAGAGGCAGATGACATCACTTGCTCTTCCCTTATCCACCAATGCTGTAACCCCATCATAGAAGGCCATCAATTTTGTCAGGCACAATTTGCCCTTAGTGAAGTCATCTTGGCTGTCACCAACCACCTCCTTATTTTCCATGTGCCTTAGCACAGTTTCTAGGAGGATCTGCTCCATGAACTTCCCCAGTCTGCGATGACTTTTGAAATATGGTTAGTGGCTTAGCAACTTCATCTGTAGATGAAGGCTAAGCAACTTCATCTGCAGCCCAGGCTACCTCTCCAATAGTGAGCAACAGGTCCAGCAGTGGCTGTCCTCTGGTCAGGCTCTCCATCACCTGTACTGGGAAGTTGTCCTCAAGGCACTCCAGTATTTTCCTGGACTGCTTACAGTTTGCTGTGCTGCTTTTCCAGCAGAGGTCCAGGTTGGCTGAAGTCCCCTATCAGGATCAGGGCCTGCATTTCCCTTTTCGTTCAATTAACCCTTTTAACAAACTCCTCCTGACATTTTTTAAAAGAGAGTTTGTAAAAAAGCATGAAAAAATGAAACCTGACAGTAATGTAAAGAGCAGTTACGCACATTTGAAAACAGGTTTGTTTGGGATCTTGACTTGTAAATGAGATCAACAAGATTCTGAAGTCAGAGTAAGCTCCCTCCTTCTTGAAAGTAGTATGCCAATCAGTAATTCCACCAAACAAAAAAGGGAGCATTACGGTCTGATTTTGCAGTCATTTCCATTTACAGCTAATGTAAATGTATCAATCTCCCGCCCTCTTTGGTATCAGCGGTTGCTTTGCAATACATTGGATACTCCAGACACCGCTCAGACTATGAAAAGTACATCTGTCGCATCCACCAACAGCACCATGTCAAAGAACTAACTAGCAGGCTGAGGCTAGTTCAGTGTCTGATATTGCACCCCAGCTTATTTTTGGGTGTCTGCACTGCAGACAGACTTCCTGAAACCTAGATGCTGCTGTGCTAACTATTTTGTCTAGCCTCCATGGAAAGAAAAATCTAATCCAGTCTCAATGTAATATTCATCCAGTTACAAAACCCATTACCTAATTTGGGCATACACCTGCAATTTTCCTTTAGGGAGGGCAAGGGGAAGGTTCCTGCTATGCACCACTTGGGAATAATTTTAGACAAAACAGTTTCACTGACTTGATTAATAAAAAAGAGCTGTGAAACAGTCTTCTTCCCAAGGTCATTTACTCTGGTTATTTTCCTCAAAACGGATAAGCCATAGTAGAACTGTTCTGTTTGGAAAACATTAAAGAAATCTTTTTCCTTCAATGTACAGTTGTTGTTTTTCCCCTACTTTTAAAGGCTCTTTATTGTTACAGCTAAGGAATTTTATGAGTTGACAGACAACAGGATGGAAGGGGGCAGGGAGGGGAGTCGGTGAACAGACCTAGTTAGCAAAATTTAGCTCCCTGTCACTGCAGGACTGTTACCTTCAGCAAAGGTGTGGACTTATTTCACGTTTTAGCATTAAACGCTCTACAGAATGCCATTCCTTCTCACAAATGGAGCAGTATTCCACAGCCTCTTCTATTTTATTGTCACCAAACATTATCCTCACACTCAGGTTTTCTCCCCATTCGCCCTAACTGTGTTAAGCCAAACACCATTGGGTCTACTGATTTAATTTCCCATTCTATGCTTGATCAGATATTGTGGCTCAACCAGCTTATCCCACCAGTTAATGCCTTCAGTTATTTTAGTTTCTTTTACTGACATGTCATATTTCATATAATGCAACATTCAATATACTGGAGTAGTTCAGGCCAAAATAATACACCAAGTAAACATCTCAAAGAAATGCTACCAAAAAGACAAATTCAAAATTAAAGATTAAATTTGCAAAAATCCACCGACCTTACAGGAAGAAACGGAGTTACTATTTTGTCACGTGTTCCAACTCTGCATACCATTCACAAAGACGCTGCAGAGGCCTAACACTACGTATGCACAAGGTCAACACCTCAGACCAACTGCTGATTGTTCAGAAACGGCATCCTGCTATGTACCTACTCAAAATTTTCTTATTAAAGAGGACACATTACCTGGACTTCTCTGCTTGCAGATTTGAGCAGTCAGATCTTGTACATACTCTGGGAATTGTTTAAAGCAGTCCCCATAGGACACTACTTTTATTCCGTGCAGCAGCATATCTGCCTGGAGCTTAAAAAAGTGGTCTTCATTTTCTTTAAGCACCAACATATAATGTTCTAAATCCACTTTATTCTTTACGGTATAAAGAAAGAGAGCTTGGAATATCTGATCACGCAGAGTCTCTCCGCAGCCCAAAAACAGAAAAGACTTGGTTCGATACAAATTTTGAAGAACTTCCTGTTAAGAAATATAAACACACAAGAGCAAATTTACTTCAGTAGTCAAAAGGCAAAGGTAAGAACTTTTAAAATATGTCAGACTTAAAAGGAGAAGCAGAGCAGACATCACTATTGAACTGAATTAAGCATATGCGTTAGAATCTGGGCAAACTGACATTTTGTAAGCAGTTTCTACAGAAAAATGTATATTCAAAATCAAAGTTAACGTACAAAATTAAGTACACATGTAAATATTTCCAGTAAGGGAATTTTAAATTGAAAGAATTGATGGCAAAATATTGGGCTCCTGTTAGGGCAATCCATCAATAAGGAAAATTAATATCCTTGACCAAATGTCTGACTTTGCAAAATACCTAAGATATGACATTAAGTCCAGGATCCAGAGCTGGTAACAGCTTCAACCCCTAAAAAATGAATCCAAGTGATCAAATGCTGCTGAATCCTTGTACTAGTGTCTAGTATTTTCATGCTAATGTTCATTCATGAGATAAATACAAAGAACTCTAAAACTATGACATACAGTTGAGAGTTCTAATTGTGACTTACAAAGCAGCAGTATAAAAGAGCATACATTGCCCTAGCAACATAGCTGGCTTTCTGAATAATGCTGCCACTTTTCTGGGCCCCAATTATTTAATCTATATGATCTGACAAAACCCTAGCTTTAGGTAACATGTATGCAGTGATTACAATAAAACAGTATGGCAAAACAGAGTAAAAATGTTAAAAGATCACACAAACCATGACTTCAGGATCTTGAGTAACATCTTTATATCCTGAGGGATCTAGCACCATCCCACAGGGATCTGTATACAAGCCATGAATATGAAGAACTCCATATTTTATATGACCTCTCGCCCACTGAAGAACCTAAAGCAAATCACACAAGTTACATTCTTTTGTTATACCATAATACACTAGAACAACTCCGATTCTGCACAAATACGCAGTTGTCCTAACTTACAAAACCACTTAAAGCAGAAAAAACTTCTTTCGCACTTTGCAGCAAGAGATAATTTCAATTACTAATTACACAGCTTACTTTACATTATAATAAAGAGGTAACTGCTGATACTGAAGACATCTCTGACTTTTTGGTCTAAACAAGCGTTCAACCAAGAAGCAAGTTCCTGCAATGCTGACAGAAAAGATATGAACAGCAAATTAACTACCAGCTAGGTAAAATCGTATTTATGACTGTAACAATTACTTCATGTAAGTTAAATAAATGTGTGAGTTTTTTCCAGGGACTGGGGGGAGGGAATTGGTTAATAAATGTGTCACTGAAATTCTATTTGGTAATCGTTACCAGATAATTCAGAATAAAAAGATACTGAAAATAAATGTCTGTGCATCTGCTGTTAGCTTATAGACATGCTTTACCAATAAGAAGTTTTAGCTTTGACAGTGTTTAAACAGGAAAACATCTTTGAATGAAGCTTACAAGCTGCCTTCATAATGTCTAAAAATTTTACTGCTCTCATTATACCTTATCCTTATCTTTCAAGTCTAAAGATTCCATAGGTTTACTCTGTTGCTGACCAAATATTTCAAGTAAATTATCATAATTTGTAGTCAGAACCATCGTGCCTCTCTCCATGAGCCTCAGGATTGATTGCAGAACAACAGGATTCTGAATGTGGTGTTCTAAATTATCAAACACCTCCATTAAGCAATCTTGGAAGAAGTTGGGCTTCGTATCCCCCGTACGCTGAAGAACGAGAAAGATGAACACTTCGTAAGGACCACGTGCACCATTATAAATGCCTCCAACAGAAACCCCACACCATTTGTCTGCTTAATGCCAAAGCATTTCTTTAAATAAGAGCTTACATAGTATACAAAGCATAAAAGTCTGAATGTACAAAATCATTAAAAACAATCTCAAATTTCAGGTGCTCTTCCCTCTGCTTAATGAAGCTCAAAATGATAGGCTGGTTTTCTCAAGGAGGCTTGTAATACACGTACAATAAACCAAACCTATTTTGCCACAGTTAAATCCTCACTCGTCGCTTCTAAACAAACAGGTAGGTACGATTTCCTAAAAGGAAAGGCTGCGTTTGCCCAGGGTATCTGCCAAGACTGACAGGAACACGTAACAACTCTAAAATTGACAGGCTTCTTAGTCAATAAACAGTACTGCACACAGACCGAATGCCTGTTTATAAGCCCAATGTAGTTACTGGCCTAACTTCATGGAAACCTCACCATTCTCAGTATGCTTGTACTGCTTTGAAAATCAGTTCGTGTACTAAAATTATCATTCCCTGGATTCAGAGTCTGGGATATACTATTAAAGGTTTGGTCTTGCTTCCTGCTTGAGAAAAACATATTAATCCTTACATATGCTGCAAAGCCTAACCACACATGCAGATTCCTCCCAAAAGAGAGAGGTGGTTATTACACTTTGCCTGCAGAGAAGCTCACCACATCCTACAACTTAGCAGTACATACATCACCCTAATTATTTCAACTGGAAAACTTGGCAAACCACTTAAGACAATCTGAAAATCTCTGGAACCTAAAAACAAATGGCTGAGAGACTGGGCATATACGGACTGTCTTCCGTGAAGTGCGAGCTGCAGCAGTGATTGTGTGATCTAAGGCTATCAGCAGGGTCAAGGTCTACCTGTATTTTCAGGGAACTTCTAGTTTTAGCCAGCAGAGCTATAAATTCCTTTTAGTTCCAGGAAACATTACAGAGAATATTTAACAGCTGAGACTCTTGCTTGCATTATGATGAAAGTTTACTTAAAACTAAAACCCACGGATTTTCTAGCCTCTCCAAACCCTATGGTGTATTATTTGATGACCATCAAAATTTCAACTTTTAGAAAGCAGAATTTTTGTTGATAACAAAATAAAAGTATATAACAATTTTAGAAATCAATGTAAGTTCTAAACATACTCACTGGTGACATTTTCCTGATCAGATCATGTGCAACCACAAGCAGGTCTCTATCTTTGATTACTTTTTTACGAAATTCAGCCACGTCTCCCGGATGAAGCACCTCCAGTTGTTCGGCTGCTTCAATTACAGCCTCAATACAGCTTCTCCAGGAGCACAGCGCTGGGATTCCTGGTGCTACAGCAGCACTTACCCCAGTTCCAATTACAAGAAGAAGGTCCCGAGGCTGCTTTCTTATTAGACTTTTTAAGAATTTTCTTGAAAACAGAAAACAAAAATCTTCATTTTTTTACAGTGCATTTTCTAAGTTGCCTGAAGATCCCATGACTGACTCAAGAAGTCCAGACGAACTATTAACATGCAAAATATTAACCAACCAAAAGGAACAGAGTTCTCCGTTTCTATGCAGAAGAATGGAATTGGCAACAGCTCACAGCCTTCCCCAAACTGACAATGTCCTTTTAAGTCTTCTTGTCATTTTAGACAAGAAAGCGTGCATAATTAAAATAAAAAAAATGACAACAACTTCAAATGACTAATGTCCCTGAGATCCAAATTGACAATTACCAATTTTCAGTCCACTGGGCTAGCCAAACACCATTTCACATGAAATTTTGAAAAAAGTAGTCAAAGGACTGTCCAGTGATTTACTTAATACATGTCTGATAGAAAATAAATAGAACTATTTCAAAGAGACAAGTCACAACATTTCTAAGAAACAAATTTTTGTTTTTCTAGGAAAAAGAGCTTTTATTCTCATTTATTCTCACTTTAGGACACACGAACATAAGAAGGGTCATGCTTGTTCAGATCAAGGGTTCATCTATCCCACTCTTCAGATGTTACTAACCACAGATTACTCTCAAAGGCATATTTGGTTCTACATCAGTATTCACTGCACAAGCCAGCATGAGAAACTCGAGAAAGTCTGGCTTTCATGATTACTTTGCACAGAAGTGAAAATGCATTTAAACCATACAGTGAAATCACTGTATACTAACAAGGATTTCAGTAACACAGAACCTTAGAATTCCCTTGGCATTCAAAACTACCTTTGACAGAGTTTTTAATTCCTGTTAATCTGGTAATATGAATGTTTAACACCTCTTATTTCACAATCATCTGAAACTATCTAGCTAAAATGATGATATTTAACTTGAGATGGCCTCAGGCAAAGCAATTAATCAACATGTAGATAAGGTTGCTAGCTAATGCCTACAAAGAATATACTGCTGATAATCCCCATGCCTTCCCGCAACAAAGTTCAGCACAAATGGTTTCCTCCCAGCCAGTATACATTTATTCCTCACAAACACCCTGAGTGCAAAGCACTTGCTCAGTGGAGAAACTCGTATCTGGGATCAAGTTTTCAAGTATGATGTTGTTCTCCTATCCAATTTTCAGGAACGTATTTCCACCACGTTTTCAGATTTTCATAAACAGACAGTTTGGTATAACCTTTGCAACACAAGTTACCTGGATTTCTGCTCACTCCTAATTGTTGATTGTTCTGATGAATCCATCTCTGAGCCCTAAATAAAACAAAAAGAAAAATAATTCTTAATGCTTCTACCTTAAAAAAGGCCAAAATTAAACCCAGATGTATTACTGATAGCATTTTCTATTTATTCTTATCAAGTATTTTAAAATCAAGACTCCATATGTCACATCCCAGTTAAGCAACACACCGATAGAAAGAAAGCTGACCAAGTATGAGTGCATAAACCTTCCACAGCTCCACTGAAGCTCAGTTAATTGACATTTTGAAGCTAATGGAGATATAGCTAGTCATGCTGCTGAAAAATACTTGTGTCTAAATTCAAGATAAAATTTATCATACCCACTAAAATGTTCATTCAAGTAAATAAATGCATTTCTTGAAAATTTTCTTCTGCAATAACGAGTTGATTCAACCAAATTTGTTGAAACCAGACTTCTGCAATACATCCTGATCATAACAGGCCCTCTGCGAGCCACCTGGCTACTCTACCAGACCATGTAACATGAAAGATTTTTTTTCTCAGCAAGCATTTTAAATAAAAACTTATTTCTGTATCATCTTACGCTTTAGACAGAAAACAATATAGAAGGACTGCATCTTGGCAAGAGAATCTGGCTACAATATCATCACTCGGAAATCCCCAAGTTTCATTACGTTAATTGTTGGTTTTGTTTTTATAAGGATATATTTTTTTGTTTGACTTTGAAACACATCTTAGTTTGTGGTTGTGGAGACTGCAGACTGCAGACCCTAATCCCTCAAATAAGCATTCTGCCAGACCCTATGGCTCATAAAGCCACTTGCCAGTTCTCAGGTTCACATGCTGAAAGCTAATTTGGAACCAAGAGACCCAAGTTTGGAGATCATTTGACCAAAAAAACCCCCAAAACCCCAAAAAACAAAGAAAAGAACAAAACCAAAAAAAACCCGACTCTGTGATAGAAGGAAATCAGCACTTCTGAGGAAAACACACAGATCTCTTCTGCAAATCAACCCAGGGTGCCTTTTTAAGTGGAAAAATTTCTTGTTGTAATATTTCTTTTTCTCCATGCTCCCTTCCTTCAGTGACAGTATCCTACAAAGATGCTACACTATCATCTGAAGAACATCAGCACATTCAAAGTTCAGAACAATAATCTATCTAGAGCAAAACACGTCAAAATCTAAAGAACAAGATTCCTTTATATATGGAAAAATTAGGAGTTCACAATATAAAAACAACACATGAAGGAAGCGCAACTTATGTATTCTGAAAAAGGTTCTATTATTTTTTAACCCCATCCAGTGAAGTAATTGGGAAAGAATCCCCAAGAAAGTTTTAACAATTACATGTGTAACTTACGAAAATTAATAAAATAAGCATCTCACCACAGGATGCTTTCAGAACTAACATTTTAGACCTCATTGTGTCCTTCTATCCCTTAAAGTTGCTTCCTGGAAGCAGCAGCTGTGCAAATAAGTGGCAGGAATTATCACCAACCTGTAATAGCTAAATGGCTGCAAATACCTTTGGGTACCAAGTAATTGTGAACTAGTCTCAAATATTCCCTTATTAGACATAACAAATACTTCTTCAATGAGCATGCCTAGAAAAAGAGAGGACCTGGGCACCAGCATTCAACATTGGTTTGCTTTTAAAAAGACACACAGGACTAACCAAAGGCGTGCGCAGTTGCTTTTCAACAACCTTTCCTCATGGCAGCCTGGAAATCGGACCCCGCTATAATCCAGGTACGCCCGAAAGCGCTGAATGGGAGCTGGGTCTTTACTGCAAACACAAGGAGGGTTCCATCAGAACAAATTCTAACGTCCTATTTTCTTCCTGCTTGGGAAAGTAAGTTTTATTTAAAGATCTATCGATGACATAAGAGCTCTATTCACTCACTGGAACTTCAAATTAACGTTTCCATTGAACCAAACGATTTTTCCAAGCAGTTAATTACATGAAAACAGCCCAAGATATTCAAAGCAAAAGAAACACAGGGCAAAGGAAAGCCGCTTTCCCTTACCCACCCCTCCTGCCCGCTGATTCTCTCTGGAATAAACCCAAGCGCATCAGGCTGGACAGGGCAGCGGTCTCTGCTAAGTTAAATTCCCCGTCTGTCTGCCCGCGGTAACTGAACCGGCGTCGCTTGGCGCAGCCAGCGGGCACGGCGAGAGCCTGCCGGC